GGTGAATGCCCACTTCATCAGACGCGTCTGATGAAGTGGGCATTCACCCACGAGAGCTTATGCTCCAATACTTCTGTTAGTCTTAAAGGTGCCACAGGACCCTGTGTTGCTTTTTATAGAGATAGGGACCAAATATCTCAAAGAACCTCCAGTTACAGGTAACTAACCTCCATTTCTTCTTCGAGTGCTCGTCCCTATGCATAGTCCATGTGAGGGGGATTATTGCAATCCTTCTGTTTGCCAGACAGAGTCGGTCAAAGCACTAATATTCTTTTTAACCTGTACAACTTAACCAGCTAATTTTTTGGTCTGCTAATCTTTACAAGCAATATTTACATTAAACTCACAGAGTTTACTAAGCCACCATAAGTGGATGAAATATGCTTACTTTACCAGTGCCGCTTAGGCCCCAGCTTCTATCTATATTAAAGAACCACATTAAGATTCTGTACAAAATAAAACTGTTTTTAACATGCCAGGACACAACTATGTGGTAACCAAGTTCTCAACACTGTTGAATGTGTCGGTAGACAGGACTGACTGACTGGCAAACAGTTTTGCAATAGTGCTATACCTAGTTCAAGGTGCTTGTGTGTATATAAACATACATGAACCCAGTATTTATTTTCTTATCCAAATAATTTTCAATATGACAAGACTTTAAGAAGAAAATAGAGGTTACTTACCTGTACCTGGAGGTTCTTCAAGATGTGTGATCCTTACCTGTATTCCACATGGGGGTAAGCATGCACTCCATGTGCCTGAGACCAGAACACTGGCAAATAGTGTTCTTTGATCCACACCTGCACTCTGGTGTTCCTTGTGCTCAGTACCAAAGGTATAAGGAGAGGTGAAGACTGACCATTTCTCTAGTTCCTTCTTTACCACAAACCCAGATGTGATGTGAAGCAGATGGGGTGGAGGGCAGGTAGTGGAATACAAACAGATCGGGACCAAACACCTGTAATTGGAGGTTTGATATAAGTAACCTCCATTTCTTCTTCGAGTGCTGGTCCCTATGCGTATTCCATGTGTGGGTGGCTATGACTGGTAAGCAGTATTTAAACAGGAGGGAGGTGCAGGAATGTGGCCAGTATAGAGGTCTGTAATATCACTGTCCCAATGGCTGCATCTGTGGAAGAGGCTTGGACTAAAGCGTAATCCTTCGTGAAGGTGTGGATGGAACACCCGGTAGCCACCCTACAAATGTCCAGTAGAGATACTTCTCAAAGGGATGCCACTGAGGTTGCCTGTGGTCTAGTGGAATGGGCCCTCATCCCATCTGGGGGAGGGAGCTGGGCTAACTGACAGCGAAGATGATGCAGCCAGAGATCCACTTAGACAGCTTTTTGAGCAGATAACATTTGTCCCCATCATCGCTCTGCTACAAGGATGAATAAGTCCAGGAGTTCTTCTAATTGGTTCTGTTCTTTGTAGGTAAAACCTAAAGCTCATCTGACATGGAGGGGGAAAAAAGCCTCCTCTCCTCATTGGAAGCATAGGGTTTTGGAAAGAATACTGGTAAGTAAACTTATCGATTGATGTGAAAGTCAGACACTACCTTTGGGGTGAATTCTGGGCAAAGGGAAGCCTTTTCCTTATGGAATATGGTATGTGGCAGGTTGGCCATGAGTGCTGCCAGTTCACTCACCCTCCTGGCTGACGTGATAGTGACAGGGAAGGCAACCTTCATAAACAGATGGGACATTGAGCATGTAGCCAACGGTTCAAAGGGTATTCTGGTAATTAGTAAAAGAATGAGATTGAGGTCTCACTGTGGTGTTGCACTACTGGTGGGAAGGTCCTAGAGAGACCCTTCATTTATCTGGTTCTTATCAGGTGAGTAAAACTAGACTAGCCCTTTACCAGAGGGTGGAAGGTACGGATTGCTGCTAGGTGGATCTGAAGCAAGCTGACAGAAAGGCCTGACGTCTTGAGAATGAGAAGGTAGTGTGGAATAGCAGGAACACCTGCTGTGTCTGGAAATAACTAGTTCTGTTGCATCCAGGTAGAGAAATACCTCCATGCAGCTAGATACATCTTCTGGTGGAGTCTTTTCTGGCGTGGTTGAAAAGAGCTTGAATGGCCTCTGAACATGAACGCTTTAGATTTGAAACCCATCCAAATACCAGGCTATGAGGTTTGGGTTGGGATGTCTGATCCCACTGTTCTCTTGAGTTAGCAGAAGTGGGAAGGATTGAATGCTAATGGGAGAGTGGGTTGACACTCTCAGGAGGTTCAGAAACCAAAATTGTCTGGGCAGTGGGTGCAATAAAAATGAGTTATGTTTTCTTATGGCAAATTTTCCCCAGAACCTGAGGAGCAGTGGAATGGGAGGAAAGGCATACCTCAGGTGTTCTGTCCATGATAGAAGTCCTGAGCTAGTACTGCTCTGGAGCGGTACTGGTTGACCTTCTTGTTTGTCTGGAAAGTGAACAGGTCCCAGGATGGCATTCCTCACTGAGTGAAGGTTTAGTTTAGGACTGAACTGTGAATCTCCCACTCATGATCTGTGGAGCAGTGTCTGCTGAGATTGTCTGCCAGAGAGTTTTGTGCACTGGGGAAGTACATCACTGAGAGTGTAATGTGATTCTGCAGCTTGCTAGTTGGCACCAGAGTTGCGCACCTTATCCTTATGGCTGAGAGGTTTAAGCTGGCCTAAGTCTTTAGGACCTGAGCCTGAGGACTCACCCAATTTGGAAGGAGTCAAGGAGGGATCCTTTCTTTTGTGAGCAGATCTGGAAGTGGATCTGGTTTTGTGTCCGTGAGAGTGTCCCGTCCCTTAGTCTACCGAGAAGCCTGAGACGAGTCCTTAGGCTTTACAGACCTGGTCTCTGCTCCAGAGATCGTGGTCAGAGGGATGCTGCTCGCAGATTTAGGCTGATGTACAGGAGGGTCCTCCCAGCCTGGATCTCACTGGGTCTCCTGGCTTTCTCCATGAGGTGCATCCTCAGTTGAAGCTCTCCTCCCTTTTGGGTTTGGGTAGGGAAGGAGCAGCAGAAGCTGAACTTGGCAGAGACGTGAGCCTCCCCAAGCAGTAAGGACAGCGTGGATGGCTGGCGCTGGCAGAGAAGGAACGTGGACCAGAGAGACAGTTCTTAAACCCCAGAACTCTGGGCACAGACCTTCTCCTGGGGGTAGGGAGGGGATTGGGAAGGGTCCCTGAGGTGGGGAAAAACTACTCTATTCTAACTAAAAAGCAACTAGAAAAGCACTAAAACCACTAAAATTCTAAGAACTATTTACAATATGTTTACAGGTAAGATGATGAAGCTGCTTCGGACACAGAGGATTCCGACTCAGGCCATGTAGTGGTCAGAAGGAACTGGGGAGGCCGACAGGCCACACCTCACCTTATACCCTGGGTACTGAGCACAAGGAACGCCAGGGAACAGGAGTGGACCAACGGACACTAATTGCCAATTCTCCAGTCTCAGGAGCATGGAGTGCATGTATACCCACATGTGGAATACACACAGGGACCAGCACTCGAAGAAAAACCACCAGAAGACCCCAACAAGGGAAACTAAGAAAAACAAGACTGCACATACCCCAAACCAAAGTATAGTGAAACTAATAGAGCTAGGTACCCATGCAGGAGGGGATACTATTTGGAAAGACCAAAGGCCTGGGTTTCCCTTCAAAAAGCAGATAATCTCCTCTTAGAACAAGGATCATTGCCTTTCAGGCTACTATTAGTAGATAGCTCCAAGGAACAGCTATGAATGGAGACACACACTGATAATAGCAAGTAAAAACATAACTACGCATCCTTCACCTTTGTAGCTTAAGTTTTGATACCTTCCTCTAGCTGTGTCCACATGGGACTAAAAGTAAATGCCTTCTTTTTTAAGACAGAGCATTGTTTAAATGACACTATAATTAGGATCTCTTTGTCGATCAGGGAGTTACAATTGCTGCCTGCATGTTCCAAGGAGTGAAAGATCCTCTGCTCTCAAGGAGGTATCAGGTGGAGGTAGCTGTCCTGCAATCATCTCAAATCAGCAAAAGGGACTCATCTAGGGGCTGCAGGCTCTACCCTTGCAGGTGCTACAGCATTGGAGTGGAGGCTCAGGTTATATAAAGTGACCTTAAAATTAGTAGGACATGGTTGCCCACCGTTACAATTGTCCTTGAAATACTCGCTGGAAACAGATTAAGCAACTTCTTGCACAGCACAAAAAGCTGTATAGTCAAATGTCATCTCTCATAATATTCTCTTGGGACTTCTGCAGCTTGAAGGCAGCCCAACAGCCCAAGTGTTACTTCAGATCATCGTTTTCTATAATACACAATTTTTCCCACCCAAAATACTGATGCAAGAACCTATTCTATTCATGTACTTTGCACCAAGTAATTGTTGGATTTCTAACACGACTTACCTGTAGTACTTATCTTTGATAATAGCATAAATGAGGATCAGTGCTAGAAGGCCATCCAAAACAACAGTTAGTATTTCCAGAGACACAATGGTTGGATCAGAATAAAGCCACCTTGCATCTGCTCTTCCATATTCTTTCCCTAAAAAATTAAACATAACAGTTAATTCCACTACTGGTATAATCAATTCAAGAAGATAACTTCTTAGTGGGTGGGAGAACAGACAATACTGCTCCCCTGCACTGAGGGAAGATTATGCGTAACATTTTCAAAAGCACCCAATGGACTTAGGTGATTAAAAATTTTACTTTATGAAAGGATGTTTGACGTGAGCATCCAAGTGCTTCAGAAATAAGATTATCACTGTTTGTTTGCTAAAGTGACGGATTATACACCTCTACCCCGATATAACACGACCCGATAGAACACGAATTCGGATATAACACGGTAAAGCAGCGCTCCGGGGGGCGGGGCTGTGCGCTCCGGCAGAGCAAAGCAAGTTCAATATAATGCAGTTTCACCTATAACGCGGTAAGATTTTTTGGCTCCCGAGGACAGCGTTATATCGGGGTAGAGGTCTATAGATTTTCTATTTCTTTCAAAGGAAATTTTTCCCTGAATGTAGGCGTCCATGTTCATCAAGTAACTTCTATAGAGAAAACCCACACAAATCTAGAAAAAGACTTTACTTGTGCTATCTTTATTCCTAAAATACACATGAGGAAGATGAAAAAGCTTGTTAATCACTGGGGATAATGGTGGTTAGACAAATCCTGGAGATTTGTTTCTAGAACTCAGCTATTTCCCCCCCCAACACCTTAAAATTAGTCTTATATTTTAGTGCTCCAGGCTAAGGACAGCCAAATTCTGATCTCAGTTACACCCGCAGCCCTACTAGCTATATTAAATGAGGGAAGAATTGGACTCGTTTTCTAGTTTACGTCCACAAGGAATCAACATTTAAATATAGGGTGATCAGATAAGAGGAAGAAAATATCGAGACACATGGGGGGGGGGTCACTGGCGGAGCAAAAAAAAAGGGGGAGTGCCACCGGCGGAGCAAAAAAACCAAAAAACCCCAGAGTGCCGCGAAATATCGGGACAAATTGCGTCCCAACCAGACGCAAATATCCGGACTGTCCCGATATTTAGACGTTTGTACCAACATCGGTCGGGACGCGGTACAAACGTCTAAATATCGGGACAGTCCGGATTTTATTGGGACATCTGGTCACCCTATTTAAATAAGGCAATAACTGCAAATGGACTGCACACATTTGTCTATAGAGCCAGTTGCCATAATTGAGAGAGAAATAATTTCCTCTAGAGTTGAAGGGGCAGATTCTCTTATACTAAGGTGATGAAGGCCACAGAAATACCTAAGTTTCTAATAAAAAAATGTCCTAATGGAAAAGATAGTCAATAAATAGGATTCAATATTTAATGACATAACACACACTGGCATCATGGAGGGAAGAGAACAATCTTTAAAGAAACAAAAGTCAAGTAAGTCAAGCTGGCCTTAAGTGACAGTCTGTATTGAGTTAGAATGACAGAACAGTTCACTAATCTGTTTGATGTACAGGTTTGTGTTCGTTTCTGCAGCGCAAAGACAATTATTCAGTTTTATCAGTTCACGCTACAGTATGTTTATTAACAATGTGGACTGGTGTCTGCAAAAATAGCATTGCAAAGACACAACCATATTTGGGATTGTTTTGAAGTGCGTAAAGGGTTTTGAAAAGAAAATGGTCATAGTCTGTCTGTCTCACCCTGCATATAAGCTCAATCCTGCATTCTCTGTGCACCCAGGACTCCCATTCTAAGCAATGCATTTTGGGCGCACAAAGATGACACGATCAGGCCCTTTATCAAAACAAACAAAAGATTAAAAACTGAAGTTGTCATTTTGTTCTGTATCCCTATTATGATAGAAGGGTCACAGATGCTGCATTTTAACTAACAAGACTTCTTTACAGCAAGAACAAATATCAAGAAAATTAGATGCATTAAGTTCCCAAAATATCAGCTTTAGACTTCATCATGGAGGGAGGGGATATGAAATCAGAATTATGTCGCTCTCTTCATTAAATTAACAAGCAATGCGTTAGCCTAAATAATAGCCTAAACATTAGTCTTTTCAAAGATGCTGCTCCAGCAGTGCGTTTTTAGCCACTCACATGTCATCAAAAGCAACATAAACTTACCGCAGAGGAAACTCACAGGCTATTGTATAATCATATTAAACCTTACTAATGCTGGGTTTTCCTCCTTACTTTCTCAAAGGCAGAGTGGTTGCTGGGTTTTGTTTTTGGAAACAGTTGATTTGGACTAAAGGGGACATTCCCTCAGACCGCCATCGGGGCATAAAGTAAATCAAATGGTTGGATATAAACTACCAGGTTCCTCAAAGCTTTTCCTATACATAAAAATGAACAACTCTTCTTCTTTGAGTGACTGTCCACATGAATTCCACTCTTAGTGTGCATACACCCCATGCACATGAAATTGGATTCTTTGGCTACCAGTGTCTGTTGGGGCTGCATATGCGCCCTATGGTTCCTTGTGCCACCACAACCAATCCCCCTACACCTGACAAGTACTCCTGCAGTCATAAAATGAAAATGATACTTACACAGAGAGGCAAATATGTTGTCTGACTCTGCCACTGTTCCTATTAAAGACAGGTACACAAAGGGGCCTTCCTAAGGGGGGAAAGCAAAGCAGAAATATGTTCTAATTTCACTGAAGCAAGACAACACCCATATTAGCACTCAGAATATGGTGTAGGACATTCTAGGAATGTCATAGATTAGATAAGGAAACTATTAATAAATATAGAAATCCCGTGTGTAAACACCTCAGCAGTGCCACATACTGGACATGCCTTTCAATGCATTTTATACAATAATCAACCAGCATGCATTCAAGTAATCTTGTAGTGCCTGAGACCTCTCTGTTTAAAAAAATATGACCATTTTGAGCTGTAAAGTGTCAACTGTATTATTTTATGTCCACTCTCCACACTTCTTTTCCATTTCCCTCATACGCATAAGCCCCCTATGCAAACAGATTGTGGATATGCAACAAATTTGACATCAGAACCAAGACATTTAAACTTGCAAATTTGAACAGGCTACAAAACCCACTTTCCCAAGATCCAGAGTCAACTATAATATAATCTTGCACTTATATCACACCTTCAGTCAGAAAACATCAAAGTATTCCATAAGCATTCAGTCGGTGAGGGAAGGAAGAGAGCTCTGACAGGAGTGCAGTGGCACCAAAAGGAGGAGAGATGGTTAACTGTTAGCCAGGAATGTTTCATAGTAAGCCAGGAAAAGCTTGTGAGAAGAACAGTGACAGAGAAGTTAAAGGGAATTGGAGAAAGGAAAGTTACAGAGCATAAGAATGCATGAGAATCAAAGACTGTGATAGCAAAGAAAGACAAACAGCCTGTGAAATCTCCCTGAAAATATAAAGTTGTTTTAAATTCTATCCTTGCACTAACAGCATGAAGGGTATGAACTACTGCCTGACCTCACTCTAGTTAAAATTTAAAAAAAGGTTACCCCATGAGTAAACTCTAAAAATAATCAGTTCTGGTGAGGGCTAAGTCCAGTGACTAGGACTAGTACCAATGTATTTATATAAAAGCTCTGGAGTTGCGGGGGATCATACCAATGACTACAAGAACAGGGAATGCCATGTCAGCCCCTCTGGATAGAACACCAATAAGAGACAAGAGGGAACTGTTCTGTCAAATGTAGCATTGGGCAAAGTTCCAGGTTGGCAGCCCTGCAGGATGAAGGTGTCTATTTCTGCCCAGAGCAGTACAGCCCCGGCACCAGATGAGCAGGCTTTATTGCAGAGCTGTACCAGCACGCTGCATCCCTGTTCTGGAGGGATCACCTCTAGATAGTATAGGATAATTCATTTATCTTCAATTCTCTGATGAGGTGTTGATTTTTGTGATATCTGTCCACTAGGAATTGCAGTGAGACCACCAGTTCATTCTACATCAGAGGTGGGCAAACTACGGCCTGCGGGCCACATCCAGCCCACAGGACCCTCCTGCTTGGCCCCTGAGCTCCTGCCCCGGGAGGCTGGCCCGCCGGCCCCTCCCTTGCTGTTCCCCCTCCCGCGCAGCCTCAGCTTGGCCCACCGGCGACACAATGCTCTGCGCGGCGGGGCTACGAGCTCCTGGGGCAGCGCCACTGCAGAGCCCGGCCTGACCCAGTGCTCTGTGCTGCGCAGTTAGCCACCAGTGCTCCAGGCAGCGTGGTAAGGGGCAGGGCCGGCTTTAGGCACCAGCTGACCAAGCACGTGCTTGG